GGAAGTGGAAATCAGAATAGAGGGAGAGATAGAGAGTTTAATTTTAATTTTTTATTAATATTTGAATCAATTTAATATAGAAATATCATTTTGCCCCTGCATTTAACATAAAAAGTTAACAAAATTGATTGAATGACCATTTGTCCTAACGAAAATGTAGTTAAAGGACAACGGGAACAATTTTGGAAATTGAGGGACTCAAATGCAAATCGTTTTATTAGTCCCCAAACTTATACCCGATTTGCATTTGAGTCCCTCAATTTCCAAAATCATTCCCGTGGTCCTTTAACTTCACTTTCGTTAGGACAAATGGTCATGCCATCAATTTAGTTTACTTTTTTCGTTAAATGCAGGGGCAAAATGGTTTTTTTTATTTTAAAACAAATAAAAAACCAACAACAACAAAAAATAAAATCAAGTTTGGGGGAGTAGAAATCAGGATAGAGGGGGAGATAGAGAGTTTAGTTTTAATTTTTTATGCATATTTGAATCAATTTAATACAAAAATACCATTTTGCCTCTGCATTTAACAGAAAAAGTTAACAAATAATTGATTGAATGACCATTTGTCCTAATGAAAGTGCAATTAAAGGACAACGGGAACAATTTTGAAAATTGAGAGACCCAAATGCAGATCTGGTCTAACCTCATGGACTAATAAAATGATTAACCCTTTTCTTTCTATATATGTTTTAGGTGCACAACTTTGCCTTAACAAATTTGTTAACGAAGGGTGAGTCTCTGCATACGCCTTGGCTTAGCTTGGCTTGGCTTTAAAAAGTTTTTTTTATCAAGAGGTATAAAATGACTTAAAATTGCTAAATAACAAAATGTTTCTAAACATTACTATAAAAATATTCTGTCACTTTTTTGAAGTTCGTGTTATTTAAAGTTGATATCAATTTGGGGTAAATATATAAATGTGATATGGTGTTTGAGATATTTTATAATTTTAAAATTAGATATCAATTTGGGGTAAATATATAAATGTGATATGGTGTTTGAGATATTTTATAATTTTAAAATTAGATATACGATTGTGTGTCATGAAAAATATAGTTCCTCTTCAAATTTTTGACTTCTTATGGAATTTGAGATCTCTTTTAATATTGAAAAAAAAAACTACTATATTAGTATAATACAATTTTTATAAGGACTTGTTAAAATATTTTTCAATGCAAGATGACGAACGCACTTGATGTTGAAACGCTCTAGTGTTAGGTAATTGTTACTTTCATTATTATTTGAGCAAAGAAAAACCCTTTTTTCCTTTTTTGGGTTAAAGAAAAGAAAGAAAAATTGTCACACACAAAGTTGCAAGTCGCAAGTTAATGCATTTGAACATGAGATGTGTTGTGGTGGTAGCTCACCTCATTCCTTAATCATGTGGTTGGGGGTTCGATCCCCGCCCATGGGAATGGAGCGCATTTCGTGGCCAGCTGTTTACTTCCTTTGGAGAGCTTCCACGGCGAAAGGGATTAGTCACTACTGTCAGCGGTGGACACCATTGAATCTCATCCAAAAAAGAAAGGCATGATATAAAAATATCTTCGTCATATCCGTGGGTTGCGGACTGAAATTTTTTTTTTGGTAAAATAAGGAGCCAAAGCCCAAACAACACAAAAAGGACTACACAACAACCATCCTTGGACGAGCCAAGCTTCTGGCATCAGCAGCAAGAAGCTCAACAACCACACCAGGCGCAGAATCCGCGGACTGAATTTTCAATAAGTAGAGTTTACAATTAGGCCCATTTTTCAAATGAATTTTCAACAATTAGTTAGGCCCATTGTTGTCAGGTAAATTTCTACTAAGTTCAATTTGCGTTCATGGCCACCGACTCAAAACCCTACGACGACTTCTGCCAGAAGCTCGCTCGCGAACTCCCCGCCGTCGTGGTCTCCGTCAACTACCGCCTCACTCCGGACCATCGGTATCCGTGCCAATACGACGACGCATTCGACGTCTTGAAATTCATGGAGAACGACGGCCACTACTTTGAGGGCGCGAATCTCAAACAATGCTTCCTCGCGGGAGACAGCGCGGGTGGAAACATAGCGCACCACGTGGCGCTCAGATGTAGCGGACACGTGTTTCAGAATCTGAAGGTTGTTGGGATCTTGTCGATCCAGCCGTTTTTCGGAGGAGAGGAACGGACGGAACCTGAAAGGAGGCTGGTGGGAGTGCCGGTAGTGAATTTGGAGCGGACGGACTGGATGTGGAGGGCGTTTTTGCCGGAAGGGTCGGATCGGGATCACCCGGCGGCGAACGTGTTCGGACCCAAATCGGAGGATATATCGGGGTCGGATTATCCGGCGACAATTGTGTTCGTGGGAGGATTTGATCCGCTGCAAGAGTGGCAGAAGAGATACTACGAGGGGTTGAAGAAAAGCGGGAAAGAAGCTGAGCTGGTGTATTATCCGAACGCCATTCATACTTTCTATGGTCATCCGGAGTTAGAAGAGTGTGCTGCTTTTTTTAACAAAGTCAGAGATTTCGTGCAATTGCAAATTGCAAGCAGACAGAATATAAAATAGTATATGATTCAGGAGGATGATATCATATATGAATAATCGGGGCCATCCATAGCCATAGTGTGGTTCTGTTTAAGCGGCTAGTTAATGATTTTCTTGCAATTTTAGTCAAAAATAATTTAAAGAAAAGATTCCGATTACCATTACAGGTAGCTGTCTCATAGAAAACCTTTCATCTCATGGGCAGTTTGTAAAAGCCTTTCAATCACTCACATCACGTGATGAAAAAGATAGACACATAGCTATAACTAAAGATCGTCTGACAGGTGAAAAAGATAGGCATGCTCGATGTCGACACACAAGAGATATATGAAATTAGCAAATATTATAGCTTTTTTAGTGCAAAACATTATATACAACTCCATAGGTCTGTTGAAACGCTATAATTATTAAGCTCAAAATATGTACCCTCAACTACAAATATTGCATAATTTCCCCCAAAAGAAAAAAAAAACTCAGATATTGCATTGAAAATTCAGCTCCGCACTTTCCAAATCCAAGTTCAATAAATAAATTAAGCCCTCTGGTTCTCATTCTATGGGTTCGTTGTATCAAAGCACTACTGTTGTGCACTTCGCTTCCTCCACAACAATCAACAACGCCACCACTTCCAATCTGAAATCACCTTCTTTTCACAATATGACCTGAGAGAAAACTGTAATATTTCACATCCAACAATACTTGAGTACATGTATCTTACGTTTCTTGGGTTCTTTTCCGGGGGTAAAAAACACCTACAATTTTCATAAAGGAATTAACTATTTACAACTCAATGAAAATTGGATAATAAATCACATCCATGAATCACAAAAATGCAGTGGCCAGCCCTGGTTTCAAACTTATCTAAATTTTATGCAAAATAAAAAAAATTAGATCAACTGTATTATTTGTTGGAAGTTAAATATCAACAGTAACAGGATCTATCAATAGACATATTGACAAAATATCAATCTCGAGAAAACCTTAGACAGAAATTTTGAATCAAATGTATTAACACTACCGGAAAAATAGTATCGAGGATATTATAGGTCTTCAATACTGTTCGGACACAAGTCATTACATGATTGTTGATATAAATGCTGAAAAAGCGAAAGTTTCTAAGGAAACATCTGGGACCATAACATAAGTTTTTCCCTTTTATGTCAATCTAACAACAGGACTAACATTGTTCATCATGAACGTAGTAGTGCTGGGAAGTTTTTTTTTCCCACCTAAAGTAATAGTAGTTATCTCCGTATTAGCTATTCCTAAAAGAAAGTTACCGTAAGAATAATATAAATGAGAGACAAAGCACCTATCAGTTTATTGAAATCCTAGAATAATAGATAGCTGGCCAGCACCAATATGTCTGTCATAAGACAGTATGATATGGCTACTTGTCCTAGTCAAATTAATAAGAATAATTTACCCTATGTTGCTCTTACTACCATCAAGAAGAATCAAGCATACCAACCTTTCTCAACCACTCATCTCCTGGTTTTATCAAGAACCTCAATGAATCTCTTTGGGATCCCATATTGTTCAATCATATGCTTTGCCAGATCATCAATCACACCACCTTGAACCACAACTTCATGCCCTTTCTTACCTGAAAAGAGAAATATAAATGCATGTTCATAAGAAAACCTAGGAAGGGATCCTCAAGAAGCCACAATAAGTACTATTCCCAGACAACCAAACTTGCAAGATGCATTTCGTACCATCGGAGAAATTGTATCATCATACAATAAACAAGAAGAAACAACATTTACATGACTAATAGGAGCAATAATATTCGAACCCCCCACCACCCAAAAAACAAAAGAAAAAAAGAAAAAAAAGAGAGAGAACCACATACTCTTACTTGGTATGGGGAACACAGGACCATCATGTTTTCAAATATAGAAAAACAAAAAATAATCACCTCTGCTTATCATCAACAAAAGACAATTAGAAAGGCAGAAATGTAATATCATCGACTGAAAACTTTCCACACAGACATAAATTTTTCTAATAAATGGCTACATAAACATTCTGAGTCATGAAGAGAAAAAGTTACGACCCAACAGACATTCATTCAGGGAAAACAAAGCACTGCACCTGGTAGTTCAGCCACTGTTGTGCTGCAAGCAAACTTCTTCTGTAGCTCTGATGCCAAAGCTTCAGGGTCTACCAAAAAAGTTTCCAGTCCTGACAATTTGGTTACTTTCTTATTACCTTGCCGCCTTTCTGTCATTATTTGTATTGTTTTCAAACCACCTTTACGAACAACCGACTCACTTCCCCTCGTCACAACGTGATGGGCTTGCATCCGGTTTACAAATGCTGCTCCTAAATCCCTCTTATGAATTTCCGTTGGGTACATTGTACCTTTTTTTATGGCTCCTTTGAACAGTGCATCACATAATATTGGATCCAAAACCACAATGGATTTATCTGTCTGCTTAACCAAGTTTTCTTTTTCAACATATGTAAAGACAATATCAGTGGCCTCTGAAGCACTGTAAAGTTTTCCTGTGTCAGTCCCTACAGAAGCTAATATGGGATTTACGTGTACACTTGGTTTATAGACCTCGACCACTTCAAGCATTTTGAGTGACCGACTTTCACTGACAGCAGGAACACCAGTTTGAACAGTTTTCTCCACTTGCCGTTTCTCTGGCTTGAAAGATGAGTAATCTGGATGCTTGCGGTTAACGGATAATAATATGGACTCCTTTTTATATTTATCTTCTTTCACTGTAATCTGCGCATGTTTTGAAGCCAACATAGCATGAGCAACAAGAATAAAGATTCATCTAAAAAACTTAACTGTAAAAGGCATAATGGTTACAAGAACATCAAAATTCAATCACCTGTCTATGTTAAACTTCTCTACTTAATCAAGGTTATCACCCCCTTTCAGAACATACCAGAGATTTCTTAACAAGCTAAGCATAAATATCAACAAGACTCAAAAGTCACAACTCAGTACTGCTACCAAAATACAACTTGCCATCTACACATAAATTCACAGAAAAGGTGCCCATGAACCACTATTCTCCAGTTATAGATCACTAAACTAAAATGAAATCATGCCTTCTTTTTTTATCAGCAGAATTGAAAACTAAAGACAAAAAAATTGAAAGACAAGTCATCAAACGAAGAAATACACTGCTGAAACCAATAAAGGAAGACTTTATGACTGATCTTGGAATTAGAGTTTGTTTCAATTTTTTTTTTTTTGCTCACTGATACTTCTTTTTCATAATGCTCGTAGAAACTTAGGATAAAATCTTTTTAGTCTCTCTTCCAAGTTCCAAAGCAATCCTATTAACATAGCTGAGACCAATAATGCCACTCATAACTCTCAAAAATCAATTTAACTTGACACATAAGAATACCTCTGAAAACATTTAAACTTAATTCTTCATGTATGCCCTGAATATAATAAAGCATAACCTTAAATTTACTAGAATACAGATTTATAACTATAAATAAGTACTGTTACAACTTTGTCCATGCCTGCTAAAGAGTAAGACTCACAGCCCAAATCAGCATCCTATTCATTACTATCACTTGGTGCACTTACTACAAGACCACTTAGAAGTTTAGAACTCAGTGGCTTGCAAAATCAAGAAAACTAGAGGATATCCATTCAGATATGAGCTCCGAAAATGACAAAAGGGTTCTCTTTCAAGGAGAGAAAATGAAAAGTTGTACGCACCAATCCCATAGAAGATTTAGCTTGTAACCACTTTGATTTCTTGATGTCTAGCGTGATCCCGGAAGGCCTACAAGGCAAAACATGGTTTGACCTGTAGAAAACAAAAAACAAGTGAAGGAAATTTTATAAATCAAATGTTTACACCCCAGAGAGAGAGAGAGAGAGAGAGATCATGTGGAACAAATATAATATATTTATCATACCAAAGTGTGCTTCCAGGCGTGGGAAGGTCTTTATCCTTAACAGTTGTATGCAATGCTTGCAAAAGGCATTTTTCTAAAAGCGTGTCTACATCCTCGGTGGAAAGAGGATGCTGATCCTCCCCAATCGACTGATCAGCAGAGCCATCATCTGTTAC